CTTATAGTGTTTAACACTTGGGTCTAAGGGAGTTGATGCTTCTCTGAGTAAGGTTGCATCAAAGGTCTTCAATACTTCAACATAGGATGTTTGGTCTAAGGTTTAGGATCCATCAGCATACCTTTTCACTTTTATCGATAAAATTTCACCTACTTCTCCAAGGTCTCTTGCTCTAAGCTTTTGTTTAACCTTAAGTTTAAACATGTCTATAACTTCTGGATTTCCAACAATAAGCATATCATCTACATCTATGCCAAGGTAGAGTGTTTTATTTGGATAATAGTAAATGCATGGATCACTTTTAGAACGTGTTAATCCATAATCTTTCAAAAAGGTGTCGAAACATGCATTCCACTCTCTTCCAGATTGTTTCAATCCATATAGGCTTCTTTTAAGGTGGCAGACAAGATGTTCTGTGCCTGGCACTATAGCTCCTTCAGGCTGTTTCATGTAAATGTCTTCTTTTAGAGTACCATTCATGAATGTAAGCAGCAGTTATATCCATTTGATGAATATCCATTTCACATTCCACAGATCCTGATAGATTTTAATTTGAGCACGGGAGAGAATGTTTCTTGAAAGTCAATTCCAGGAACTTGCATGTAACCTTCAGCTACCAGTCTAGCTTTAAATTTATCACAATCTCCTGTCTCAGCTTTCTTTTTCCGAAATATCCATCTAGAATAAGCTTGACAATTGGTGGTTTGGTAACAAGCTCCCACGTTTGGGCGCAACGTAAGTTTTTAATTTCTTCATCTGTGGCCTTTTGCCACAAATTTGCTTCTTGTGATGTTAGAACCTTTTCCAATGTATCCTATTCCCTTTCCCTATAGAATTGCTTTGCATTTGCGGAACATGCTTCTTTTGCCTTAAGTACATAATCTTGCAGGTGTGCAGGGGTTTTAATAGCTCTTATGCTTCTTCTGACAGAATCACTTCGACAGACTTGATTATTTGTATCTTCTTGATCATGTTTTAGTTGGTTGGACTCCTCTGTCATTTCAACTTGCTGATATGTCTGATCTCCACAAACATTATTTTGGTATTCATCTTGATTGATGGCGTTTGTGTCTGGATTCAGATCTTTTTCGATGTAGAGAATTTGGATGTTCATCTGATTCTTCTTCACTTGAGTTCATAATTTCTGTGTCTTCATTTCCAATAAATAAGGAAATCTTATCTTCATAGGGCCCTTCTTTGGTCAACTTGAAAGGGAAGACATCTTCTTCAAAGAGCACATCTCTGCTGATAAAAAACTTCTTTTTTTCTGGATCCCAGAGTTTATATCCTTTGATACCACTTGGATACCCAATATGGATACATTCTATGGCCTTTGGGTCAAATTTGCCCCACCTTTGAAATAAGTGTGTATGACTCCAGGCCCATCATCCAAAAACTTTCAAGTGATCCAAGTTCGTTTCTTTACCTGACCATAACTTTTCTGGCATACTTCTTCCAATTGCAGTAGATGGGCGTCTATTTTGGACATAAGATACTGTGCACAGTTTCAGCCCAGAATTCTGGCTTTGCTCCTGATTCTATGAGAAGGCATCTGGTTATGTTGATCAAAGTGTGGTTCATCCTTTCTGAAATTCCATTTTGTTGATGGGATTTCGGCACAGTTAGCTGCCTTTGAATTCCATGTTTGATAAGATAGTTGTTAAAGTTTCGTGACTTAAACTCACCTCCATTATCACTTCTAAAAAATTTTGTGACAATTTTCAGCCATTCTCTTGTATTCATCAAACTTCATTATGACTTCATGTTTAGTTTTGATTGGATACACTGTAGAGTAATGAGAAAAATCATGGGTAAACACAACAAAGTAATTTGAATCTCCCAGTGATGGCGGTGAAATATTTTCCACTACATCAGAGTGCACAATTTCTAATGTTTCTTCAGCACGTGTGTTAGAGATTTTTGGAAATTTCTTGCGATTCATCTTTCCTTGAATGTACACAGCATGGCTTGTTTGTTTCAAGATTGGATTCTTGTTTACTTTTAGTGGTTATTATGTTTCTCAAAGTGCCTGGGAAAGGGTGTCCTAGCCTGCGATGCCAGAGTCCATTCGATTGGATCGTTGAAATGTATGCTGCAGGACAATCTTCTTCTATAATATATAGTCTTCCCTGTCTTCTAGCTCTCAAAACAATTTCACCAGTTTCTGCCAGTATTTTTGCTTCACCATGGGCAAATTCAATCTTAAAACCTTTTTCTTCAATCCTGCCAATCGACAGCAAATTTCCGCCCAAGTCTGGTACATACAATACATTTGCAAGATTAATGTTGCTTTTGGTAGAATCTTCTTGAACTGAAATAGTGATGTTTCCTGTTCCGGTAACTTGAACTTTTTCAGAATTCGCCACTTCTACTACTGAGGTGTAATCAGTTAGCGATTCGAATTTCTTTCTGTTTGACGTCATGTGCTCTGTAGCACCACTGTCTAGAATCCAGATTGTTGAGTCTTCAGCTTTAAATTTATTTG